TCACTGTCTGTTACTGAATCGTTGAAAATATTAAGTCAATATAACTGTTTTACATAGTGAAGATTCTCATTTTTATTTTCCGTCCTCCCGATCATGAAGACAGGGAACTTTTTAAGCTCTTCTCATCACGCCTCTACTCACTTCATATTCATGATGATAATATAATACTCAGATCGATTGAAGTCAATACTGTCAACTCCGAATATTTAACAGGTGGTCTATGCACGAAGAGCATTTTACTGCTATTCAATCTTCAACAATGCCTATTGTCATATTTGAACTATAAAAATTTCTTCAATAGACTTTCCAGCAAATAATTTTCATTGCTAACAACATTACAATCTCTCAGCGATATTTATTATACATGGGGAGATTTTAGTAGTATTTTTTCTCTTTTTCCTCAATTACATCGATTAAGTATATCTCTTTACAATTATCGTGAAAATCCAAGATAGGCATCGATTGAATCATTACAATTATCTCTCAAGAAGCTCGTCCTCAAATTTTCCAGTGAAATGATTACCCCCGATGTTTACGTCATGTTAAGTTGAATGCATCGATATCGAAGCATTGGTAGAAGCTCATCTCGCTCGTCAAAATATTGATCGGTGTATTTCATATATGCTATTTGGTTGGGCATGTATTGATACTGAAAGTTGTTAATAAACAACAAAATTACTTCAATTATCCAATCAAACTTTAAGCAGCTCGGATTTAAAGATAATTACATTGTCTTATTTCATTGATATCGTTATTAAATCATTTCTAAATCTGATACATTTTAAAAGCTAGGAAGGCATCATTTCTTCAAAATGTGTATGATTGTCTACTTTTTTCTTCTTGTTAGTGCACAGAACATTTTTTTTTCAAATTTAGCATTAACATTGACTTAAAAAAGATGTCCAATCGACTGTCAACCTAAGTTGATTTTCATGACGACTCCTCAAACTGTCGTCCTTGCAATATCTTGGCGGTATTGGTGAAACCAACGCACGCTTATAACCATTGTGGATATTCTTGGTAACAACGAAACATATTGATATTGGGATGTGGGTATTTCTATTAGCAACATCCACATGCTAAAGTTAAAGTTCGATTTCTCTCATGCATGCTAGATAAAATCTCTATATTGAGATTAAGATGCACTTCGTATACTTTTTTTATGACACAAAGTTGTAACATTTGTTTTTTGTTAACACTATTTGTCTATAATGTTTTTCTAACTTCTAGGATTTTCATTGAATCTCTATGATTCTCTCGGGATCCCCCTTTTCTCCTTAGCCATGACCATATGTTAATAGCCCAAAACTTGCATGGAGTATATGCATTAAAATTAAAAATAATAGTAAGTTAATGCGAACACCTAAGCGCTAATTTATTCTAATGCGAATAATGCTTAAAACATTATGCTTAATAGTTAATGCTACTAGTTGTATGTTCGCATTCTTTTGAAACTAATACTGACATAATCGCCCTATTGAGCTAACATCAATACGAAAAGTGTGATCTTTGAGAGTCTTATATCAGTAAATTGACTTGATTATTCGCAAAGAACAGTGCTCGACGAACGATAGAATGGAAATCATGATGTGACACAGTCAAAGATTATAGAGCGTATATGTATCACTTACTCAGATATCGGTCTTTTTCTTTGCAAATAACATTGCAATAGCAGATTCCCATGTTATAAAGCAAGAATGTGAAAAGAGAGAAAATGAGTTTTGAATAGCGTATACCCACGTAAAAAATTTTTGATAAAAACCGCAGTCAACCGCGTTTTTTCTTAACACACCGCGGTTTTTTGGAAAAAAACGCGGTGCAATTTAAAAAATCGCGGTTAACTGCGGTTTTTTACAACGCGTTTTAAATTAACCGCGATTTTCTTGATAAAGACCGCGGTAATATTCATCGCGGTTTATCGCGGTTTCAAAAACCCGCGGTGAACTTCATTGTAACCGCGGTATTGCTCGACGCGGTTAGTCGCGGTTTTATTAACCGCGCTCAACTGCATTGTAACCGCGGTATTGCTCGACGCGGTTAGTCGCGGTTTTATTAACCGCGCTCAACTGCATTGTAACCGCGGTATTGCTCGACGCGGTTAGTCGCGGTTTTATTAACCGCGCTCAACTGCATTGTAACCGCGGTATTGCTCGACGCGGTTAGCCGCGGTTTTATTAACCGCGCTCAACTTCATTGTAACCGCGGTATTGCTCGACGCGGTTAGTCGCGGTTTTATTAACCGCGGTGAACATGATTATAACCGCGGTTTCCGATTTTTGATGTTTACAGCACTCAACTACTGTGACGAACTTCATCACTATCACACTTCGCCAGCATTAGCTCTCTCAAAGGGAATTTTTGATGACACGCCATTTAAAAAAACCGCGGTTTTGGTGTTGAACTGAATATATAACCAATGTTAGGAATGTGTAAGGACGGAAAGGATGTCGTGCCCTACTTTCCCTGCTATCTCTAATGTTAACTTTTAACATAACTTCGTCGCTGTAAAGTGACTTTGAGGTAATGGAACTTTACAGTTCACTACACTACCCCTCGAAGGGTATCTTACCTGATCTTTACAAAAAAGATCAGGTAGACATTGCTATGTTTGAGTCAGGTGAACTATGAAAATAACGCGATGGTGCGCGGTTTTTAAAAACCGCCTCGTACTGCGTTCCAAAAAAACCGCGGGAGTCAGACCATAAATGCAAACATCCAAAAACCTCTAAAAACCGCGGTTTTTTTAAAACGCGGTAGGACGCGGTTTAAAAAAACCGCGGGAGTCAGACCATAAATGCAAACATCCAAAAACCGCGTTAACTGTCTCGCTCCCGCGGTTTTCTGAAACCGCGTCACAGTGCGTTTTTTTAAACCGTTATTTTGAGCGGTTTTTGGATGTCTGCATTTATGGGCTGACTCCTGCGTTTTCTTCAAGAATTTTTTTCCGTGGGTATGAATCGAAGATGGAACATCACATTGCGAAATTGTCCTCTTTCATGTTTAGAATTGTTCATGGTGTCTAGTGGAATTTATACAATTTCGATTATTATTCACTTCTTTCTGCAGCGTGCACATGCCACCGCTTTTACATGTCTATATCTGACATAGAGTGGAAGTGTCAACTTGGTTTCCAACTGTGATACTGTAAAGGTAACGTTATGACTTCGTTTAAATGTGATCTAAGTAATATGCAGCTGTATAGGTAGCAAATGCATCAAACGCATGGATCATGAGAAAAAGATTCAACGTCTATCGCTACTGCAATAATAATAATAATTGCATTGCTTATTCCAATTGTAATCATTTTGTGAAACACGACCTGAAAGGAGTGTTGAAGTGTTTAGAGTAGAAATTCGCCCCCCCCCTCACAGACCGTCACTGACAGGTGGTGCTACCATCACAGACTATTATAGACTTGAATGGACATGAGAAGAATAGTCTAAGTGTTAAGAGGAGGAGTTTCCATTTCCTCCGCAGGTATTCTAATTAATTAACTAATTAGAGTTTAAATAATGAATTATCCTTTGCAGATCTTTACAGACAGGCTTGAGATCCATCACAAGCCGTATTTGAAGTGTGTGAAAAACAGATGGTAGGAACTAGGACTGTGATACACCTAGACAAACACCACTGCACATCGTCGTACACTATGAGGAGCCTTGTTGCTGTACAAGCAATGACCAGGGAGTGATACGATATCAATAAAATCTATGAGCGGCTTCCGTTTTTCACTTGTCGGTGCTGTATTAAGATATAATGGAAGAAAGAGTGCAGAAATAGATGGAACAACACGGTTTTGTGAGAAGAATTAACAGTTATGTCGTGTTTCACATTTTAATCCCGAAGGGATTGCGCTAACAGCTTTTCCCACTGAACCGAATCACCATATGCTTCCGTCAATATTTACCATTGAGGTTTGTTCCACTGCTGATGACATGAAGAAAAAATAAAAAACACACACATGGTAATTCAAAGCGCTGCAATTTGCAATACATACAATCAAAGCACTTCATGAAAACGAATACCTTAGAGAATAGCATAGGATAAGAAAAAACCTAGTATTTATTTTCTTCATTGCTTTTTAATAAAATACGTATCCCTTCTCGTGTCGTCAGGACACAATGTTAACCCTTTCAATCCCGTACGACATCTCGTAGATGAATACAGAACGCCAAAGAATTATTTTGCGTTCTGTCGTCTTCTTCGACGTCGAATATCATGTGATATATGCAAAGAAGAATTGCAGAAAAATCGTTTTTATTGCTATCCATAATGAATATAGACTTCAAATACAGATGATTGTGGTAACTGAACGCAAGAGAGAGAGATCAAAACATCTTTTTTCGTGTTTGTGTAGAACGCAAGAAAATGTCGGGATTAAAAGGGTTAAACGAGAGAGAAAAAAAAACACGCTGTCGACAGATTTTTCTTGTTGTCATAGAGGCGAATGTCATTCATTCTGTAATTTTTTTGTATATGTTCTTCTTTATAATAAATATAGTATTATTTTTTAAAGGTTTAGCACAAGAGAAATAACAGCTTACATTTACATTTTCCAAAAACTGTTGAAATACGACACTTGAAAATCGCATATCACGAACTCACAGTAAGATACATAAACTCACTCATGCATGTTCTATACAAAATTTCTTTTCTTTTATTATATTTATTCTTCTTCAACTTTTATGATGTTATAAAAAAGTCAGCAGATACAATGAAACACAACAAAAAATAGCGTTGAATGTGCTGATTTCATTTTTTCTTCTTATTCTTGTTGTTGCTGTGATGGTGAAGTGATGTGGTTTTTTGTTAGTGGTCAAATGCCTGAAAAATGAAAAAAATAGAAAGAAAAGAAGAAATAAAATGTTAACATAGTCTCTTTTGTTTTTCGAAAATCTGAAGTTTCATATTATTTGCAATCCAATAATATTCACGGATATGCTCAAAATGTCAGTCTCTAATATAAATTATGATTTGTTACTTACTTGCATGAATATTCATTATTTAACACCAAGTCCTTTTCGATTGATTGCATTTGCTTTCTTTTTGAAATCTATACCTGGTTTAATATTGAGTACCATTCCAACCATACGTTCCATGGGTAATGTACCTTTCTTGGAAATCAAGCACGCGCGTGCAGGATAGCCACGGTTTTGTGACAAATCCTCCAGAAAATAACTTAACGCATTTTGACTCTTGCTGGGCTTATTATTAAATATTCCGTTATATTCTTCCTTGAGTCTTGTACCAACCTTGCAACGCTTACCATCATTTTTTCCGATGTAAAGAAAGTGAAATTCATGCAAATCTTCATATTCCCGGAGGGTGTCCTGGAATTGTAAATGAAGCCAATAGCGATAATCCTTTACACCATCATTTTTTTCTAATTCCTTGCACAAGTTCGTCACGAACGCATTAGTAATTGGCAGCTCCCATGCGTATATAGCAGCAGTGTTGAATACGGCAGTGCTAAATAATGTACTATAATTTTCCGTTGTTACTTGAAAGGTTGTCCCAGGTAAGCAAATGTCTTCAAGATTTAACTCATACGGTTCGATGGCCTTATTGTCGCGAACATGCTTGTTGATATGACTTTTAAAATTTGAGTTCTCGTCTAGTAATTCACAAAAGAGTTTATAATCTGCATCATTAAAGTTTTGCTCTGAATGAAGATCACGAATAGCTCGAAACAGATCTTCATATGACACCCGTAGTGTTTTTAATTTGGCCTAAATAAGAGAAAAACAAAAGACATCGTAGATACGTTCAGACATAGAAAAGGTTAACACTGCATCGTTCTCACCTCCAAATCGTCGACATCCGTGTCTTCCACCTTTGTTGTAGCTGGTGCAGTCAATTTCTAAATATAGAAAAACGAACGCAAATATTTCGATTTGTAGATGTGTTCAGTTATCTCTACTTACTTCATTGCTTGGTTGTTCAAGTTTTTGTCCATGCATAACATCCGTAGTTATTACCGGCTGACTCTTCTTTTCGATCGCCTTGTTTTCTCTTAGAAGATCATTAAAATAAATTTAATATAAAACATATCAATAAATCTTCTCGCATTTGAAAAAAAGCTTCATTTCTGACTCTTCCTATTTCAATATTAAAAGCATTTTTATTGAATACTCACATATTTCCTTCTTTTGCTACTTGATCTTCAGATCCGTCATGCTTGTCATTAACTGCATCATCCTAATATATATAAAGAAAAAAGTCAAAAGATAACAAATTTATAGTGATCATTTTTCCTAATACTGTTGTGCTTACCCCATTCGAATCGACTTTATTTTTCGCGTTCTGTGAAGATTTCGGCATTTTTAATGCTGAGTGTGTAATTTTAATCTGAAACAAAACAACGTAGTAAAATAGTACTCTAGTATAGAGATGAGTGGGAAACGAATGCGTTCTATCACATTCTCGACGAAAGTCGTCTATATAAATGTTTTGAAATTACCTATCCATGAGATGTTAGCAGAGTTTAGCAAATCCGGCGAGTACCCACATCATTCTATTATTCCACAATGGGCCAATCAGAAAATTTGAATAAATGACACAGACACATTAGAGGCTGGAAAAACCTGGATATGGTTGATAAATCCAGCAACACAGTAATTTTCTTCAATAGTGGTATCTTGAAAATCTTCACATTAGCGGATCAATTTTCAAGCTTTTATTATTCTGTCTTCAAACTTTAAGTATCCAGAAGATGCTTGACTTTCAAAAAAAATCCATTTTCGAAAAACTGAAGAATCCATACAAATAGTAAAAATACGACAATGAATTTATATTTCGAGCAAATATGGTTGTATCAAATACCTGATGTCTCTTATCACTAAACTATGTTATAAAATCAACTAACATGATTAATCATGACATAGATGAGAAGTATAAGCGGGTGTAGGTGAAATTAATTTTTATTGTGATCAGGTGCATCAATTTTTTATTTTACAAGTTTAAAAGCGTCGTTCGCTGTAGAGCTTGTTAAATTATATTTGCCATTGTCAGAGAATATATTTTTATGTACAACTTCCTTGCTAAATCTTGTATCCATTACCTTATTTGTGTTTTCTATTACTCATAGTTTTATCTTCTTCAAAAGATTGTTATTGTTTTTGTCTTTTGGTTCATTATATATTTGCACGTAAAAATAAAGTAAATAAAAATATTTGGACTCAAGCATAACACGAAAATTGATGTTCAAATTTATAAAAGTTATTTCAATCTTTAAATAGCCCAGGCGTATTTCGAGAAGCGTGTATATCAGTTCACTTTAGATTTTCCAATTATAAGAAAATCGAATTTCTTATTACGGATATCCTGAAATATTGTATCCATAAGAAAGCAGAAATTCATCCGTGAATTCATATGAGGATTTCTAGAATATTCTGCTATGTTTTCTATGAATTATTTTCTATTTTGCAGCAAATAATGCGATATATTTTTTGAAGCGTATAACTTAATTCCTGGTTTTGATTTATTCGTGTAGCTATACAACTGTGCCTCTTCTGAAATGGGTCTCCGTCAATGTTTGCAGCTCATACTTTCTCTTCTGATGATGATGTGAACAGAAAAGAAGAAATGCACAGATGGTAATTCACGACACTGTGATCTCTGGTGCATAAGACCAAAACTTGCCATGAAAAGGATTGTTTATGAAAAAAGCATAGAATAGAAAGAAGAAATAAAAGAAATAAAACGGTTCTTTTTTTCTTCGTTTTCTATTCATGAAATGCGCACTCTTTCCGATTCCTCAATGGTAGAATGATGAAAGAGAGACAACGCGACTAGAAAGAACAAACCACCGGCCACATTTTCTCGTCGGCATCGTGGCGCTTATTTATCATTATGTAGTGCCTTTGCGCCTGTCCTTGTTGAAAATAAATATAATATTTTTTTCATGTCTGTCAAGAGAGACTGCTTGTATTTACATTTTGCAGAAAAAATTGACGAGAAAAACTACAAGTCGCATATGACGAACTCAAGGTAAGATTTACGAGCAAAATGGTGCATGTTCTGTACAAAATTTGTTTTCTTTAATGATATTTATTCTTCTTTAGCTTTTATGGTGTTACAAAAAGCTGAGCAGGTACACTGAAACACAACAAAAAAATTACGTCGAATGAGCTGATTTCATATTTTGTTGTTTTTCTTGTTATTGCTTTGATGGTGAAGTGGTGTCATTTTTTGTTGGTGATCAAATGCCTGAAAAGTGAAAAAAAATAGAAAGATAAGATGAAACAAAGTGTTAACGTAGTCTCTTTTGTTTTTCGAAAATCTGAAATTTCATACTATTTGTAATCCAATAATATTCACGAATATGCTCAAAATGTCTTCGTCTCGAATATAATGTATGATATTATGCTTACGTTTCTAATATGTCTTTCAACGAGGTCCCAGCTGTTCCCGATTGATCACGTTTCCTTTATTGTCAAATTGTTTAGCTGCCTGAGCATTGAGTACCTTGCCAACCAATCCTTCCATATCAGGTGAGCCATTTCTTGAAATCAAACCCACCCGTGTAGGATAGCCAAAGCATCCAAACCATATATGCAAAAAATAAGTTAATGTCTTTTGCGACGTGCTCGGTTTGCCACCAAATGTAGCATTCATTTCGTCACTGAGCCTTCCCCCGACTGTATTTTCAGTTTGCCCGATATACAGAAACGAAAATTCATTCAGATATGAATATTCATTAAGACCGTGGTAAAGTTGTTTCAAAAGGTAATCATTTAAGCCGACTCTTTCTCCGGTTAATCGAATGTAATGGTTCCACGCCTTGCATATACTTTGCAGCTCTGCCTTCGTAAGTTTTATTTCCCATGCATAAACACCGGTAGTCTTCAATGTTGCATCCTCGAAGCATTTGTTTTTATTGCCGTTCGTTACTTCAACGATTGTCCCAGGTAGGCAAATGTCTCCAAGATTTAACTCATATGGGTTGATGGCTTTATTGCTTCTCAAATGCTTGATGATAAGACTTTTAACATTGAAGTTCTCGTCTAGTAATTCACAAAAGAGTTTATAATCTGCATCATTAAATTCTTGCTCTGAATGAAGATCACGAATATCTTTAAACAGATCTTTATATGACACACTTTCAGCACCAGCTTCTGGTTCCAAATCTAGTTCTCTTAATTTCTCCTAAATAAGAGAAAAACAAGAGACGTCGTAGATACGTTTAGACATAGCAAAAAAGAGCAACAATATATTGTTCTCACCGCTAATTCCTTTTCATCCGAGTCTGGCACCTTTTCTGGAACTGATGCAGTTGATTCCTAAATATAGAAAAAGCAACGGAAATATTTCGATTTGTAGATGTGTTCAGTTATCTTTATTTACTTCATTGCTTGGTTGTTTAAGTTTATGTCCTCGCATAACATCCGCAGTTGTTACTGGCTGACTCTTCTTTTCGATCGTCTTGTTTGCTCTGAAAAGACAAATAAAATAAACTTAATGTAAAAAATCGTACGAGAGCACAGTCTTGCATTCGACAAAAAACTCTTCATTTTCTGACCCTTCCTATATCAATATTTAAAGCATTTTTATTGAATACTCACATGTTTCCTTCATTTTCTACTTCATCTTCAGATCCGTCATGGCTGTCCTTAACTGTATCATCCTAATATAAAGAAAAAGTCAAAAGATTAGGAATTTATAGTGATCGTTTTTACTAGTACTATTGTACTTACCCCATTCAAAACATTTTTATCCTTCGCGTTACGTACTGAAGAGTGCTCCATTTTTAATGTTGAGAGTGTAATTTTAATCTGAAGCAAAACAACGTAGTAAAATAGTACTCTAGTATAGAGATGAGTGGGAAATGAATGCGTTCTTTCAGATTCTCGACGAAAGTCGTCTGTATAAATATTTTGAAATTACTATCCATGAGATGTTAGCAGAGTTCAGCAAATCCGGCGAGTACCCACATCATTCTATTATTCCACAATGAGCCAATCAGAAAATTCGAATAAACGACACAAACACATTAGAGGCTGGAAAAACGTCGATATGGTTGATAAATCCAGCAACACAGTAATTTTTTCAATAGTGGTATCTTGAAAATCTTCACATTAGCGGATGAATTTTCAAACTTTTATTATTCTGTCTTCAAACTTTAAGTATCCAGAAAATGCTTGATTTTTGGAAAAACATCCATTTTCGGGAAACTGAAGAATCCGTACAAATAGTAAAAATACGACAATGAATTTTTATTTCCAGCAAATATCGTTGTATCAAATACCTGATGTCTCTTATCATTAAACTTTGTTATAAAATCAACTAACATGATTAATCATGACATAGATGAATAATATAAGCGGGTGTAGGTGAAATTAATTTTTATTGTGATCAGGTGCATATAAACTTTTCATTTGAAAATGTAATGATTCTCATTCGCTCTAGAGCTGGTTAAATTAAACCAGGAATCAAAAGTTCAGGCACTTTTTATTTTTTTTATTTTCTCAATGAAAGATCATTCCATAATAGCATACAATTTGTGCTTTTGACAGCTCTCAAAGTGTACTATAAGACTGCTGAAGAATAATTTGTTTATTTGTTTATGAAGGAAATATTTTTTTCTCTAACGATCATAAGTTTAAGGCACTTAATTTTCATATGTTCACTTTATTGTCGAAAACCTTAGAGAAATACAATTTCATGTCACAAAAAATGCCCACTTTTGGCTTTTAAACACTTTCGTATTCGTACAGGGATTGATTCAACCAATTTTATGCATAAATCCTGATCAATGTTGCTCCATTCCTCTTGAAGACAATCCTTCAGGGCATGTCTTCAATAAATTGGTTTTTCAGCCAGTTGTTTGTCCAAAACTGACCGTAACATTTCTATGGGGTTCAAAGCGGGACTTTTTGAAGTCCAATTGGATACATTTACTTTCAATTTAGCAATTTTTTCCTTGACAGTATCCGAAGTATGCTAGAGAGTCAAGTCTTGTTGGGAAATCATTTTGGTTTTGTTAGGAATTTTGTGAAACACGACCTGAAAGGAGTGTTGAAGTGTTTAGGGTAGAAATTTTCACCCGCCACAGACCGTTACCGACAGGTGATTTCCCCGTCACAGACAAGTGATTCCATCCTCACAGGCCATTACAGGCAGAGAAAGATGGGGTCAAGTGCTAAGAGTAGGAAGTTTAATTCCTTTCGCAGACATTTTAATTAATTTAGCTATTTACAGTCTAATTAATTAATTACTGCTTACAGACCTTGGCAGACAGACTTTGAACCCATCACAAACGGTGTTAGAGAGGCAGAAGCAGGGTGGATGGTGGAAAACTGATTTAAATAATCCCTAAATCAGTCAAAAAATCATCTAAAATCTATTTAGTCTTAGTGAGTTTCACCGAGTTTGAGTGAAGATCCTTGGTACTCTGTGATTTTCAACAAACTTCCGGCGACTTTTCATTTTCTCAAACTCATCTTAACTGAGCCTAACTCAAAAAAATAACTGAAGCTCATAAATTAGCTTTCTTCCATTGGGTGGAGCTATAACTGTGATGCACCTCGACATACACCTCTGCACATCGTTGAAGACTGTCATGGACCTTGTCTCCGCACAAGCAAGGACCAGCTACTGCTACAATATCGATAAAATTTATGAGCTGCTTCCGTTTTCCATTTGTAGGTGATGCATTAAACCTTAAAGCATAATGAAAGAAAGCGACCGGGAATAGATACAACAAGACTTTTTTTGATAAGGATTAACAGCTAGCTCGTGTTTCACATTTTAATCCCGAAGGGATTGCGGTAACAGCTTTTTGTTGTTGGCTGCATCGACCTCTGTGTGATCTATCGACGACGAGAAGCTGAAACTCAACCATTTTAAAATCCATGCTACTCAAAGCCTACAATACAGCGTGTTACATAGGCAACGATTAAGGAATTATCCTTAATCGTTACGACACAAACCCTACACATAGCTGTTTCTTTTCTGTTTACACTTCAACTTATCCATATTCTAGTTCATCTTTTCTTTTCTTTCTTCTAGGGTCATTTTCTCATCTTCTTCTTTTTCGTGTCATCGAGGACATATTGTTTGTCCTCGAATAAAGAAGAAGGTTGCCCTAGATTGTTTTTCTCTCTCTCTCTTGGATATAAAATGCGTTGCTTTTGTGTAAATAAAGCGATTCTTGTTTCGGAAGAGAAGAGGCAACAATTCAAATAATCTAACTCAGCGTTCGTGGCATCAATGCAAGACCAGGAATGGTGCCCATTTAATCCAACAAAGAGCACATATGTTAAGGGTGGGCATGAAGATCTAAAAAGTCACGCCCATCATTTGCGATCAATTTATCGGTACATGAACTCCCTGTATTAGACAGGTATATATCATCGCATTAGTATGTTGCTTGTTGACCAATCAGGCGTAGCAGACTCGATTTTTATCTCTCCTGCAGCTAATCGATCAAAGAGTTGTTAAATCTAAACTTGTCATTATAATGCTTAAGCCGACGACAGAATTATCAGATTGAATTTCGTCTGGTTATTGTTCGTTCGTTTATAAGATCTTATCTTGAGCGATGTTCAGATCTTAAGAATGCTATTGGTCACTTGAACAATTCGTGAATCAAGATAAGACAGTTGTGACACTAAACAATGACTCTGTTTATACGTCTGATTAGTCTCAATCAGATAACCTAATGATCATGCTCATTCTTTCACGTAAAATATATGTACATGTATATTTCGCATCATCATCCATCATTTCTTATCTATGTATATATAATGAAGCTATTCTCATAGAGAATACAGCATTCGATTTCTTCTTCTTTCGTTGTAACCTTATTTTGCTTCAAGCTATTCCATGAATTCATTTGATAGTTACGATTTAATAAAACCTAAACCTAAAATAGTAAGATTTTTTTTCTTTTATTCTTTATTATGGGCCATCCTTCTGTTTAGTATGGGACCGTAATTAAATACATTTGTTTGGGTCTCTCTGTGGTACTCGTATCGTTCATTCTTTGGAAAATCAGTGATTATTTCGAAAAAAAACCTCTTGCACGGAATGGTACCAATTATCAATCAAATAGTGAATATTATAAACAATTGACTGGTATTCATGAATTCAGTCAATTAGATAATCTTCGTTTGGATCGTCTTTCATCTCCTCGATTTCATCCACACAATGGAAAGAGTGCGGTCTATCTTAGGCAACAATATCATATGCCTGATTTAAAAGGATCGTCAACGACGCTTCATTGGATTGATTTAGAAACAAATAAAACTGTTCAACTCACACGACCTATTTGGAATATTCATGATGAATCAGTAAGAGAATATTTATTCATAAAGTGAAATCATATCACATCTCTTCCTTCTTTCATTATAGTTCTATTGGATTGATAATAAAACAATTCTTTTTCTATCGAATCGAGCTTCATCGGGTCTTACTCAATTATTTCAACTCAATCTACCTGATGATGTATCAGTGATGAGCAGTTATCTTGATCCAATTCAAATTACCAATTATACACTTAATGTTGATCATCTATTGGTAAATCGACAAGGAACACGTCTTGCATTTAGTTGTCAAGTTTATGCTAATTTATCTATTCAACAAACAGCTGATCGACAAACAATTGAAAAAGCTAGTAGTGGTTCTGTATATAAATTCGATAAATTATTTATTCGTTACTGGAATGAATACATTCTTGGTCCACGTAATCATCCATTTGTTGTGTCAATTGAACGAAATAAAAATGGAATATTCTATTTTACATCTACACCAACAGATGTTCTTTTTGATGTTGATGCTGATTCACCAATAAGATCTTTTGGAGATGGTCAAAGTCAATGGTCATTTAGTGCAAGTGGAAATAAATTTGCTTATACAAGACAACATGATGAAACAAGTGCAGTTGCTTGGTCAGTGAATTATGATATATATACTGTTGATTTAACTGCATCAAAATTAATCAGTGTATGCATTACATGTGAAAATTTTGCAGCAGATGCAAATCCAAGATATTCACCAATAGATGATCAAGTTCTAGTCTATCGATCGCAATCAATTCCTAATTATCCAGCAGCTCAATTCAAAGTCAAATGGTATAATGGTAAGTTTGATTGTTTAAGCAAATTTTCTTTTGATTTTCTTTTTTTCAGGTTCTCATACAAAAAGAACTCTTCTTAGTAGTTGGAGTCACAGTATTGCCGCTGCAACATGGTCACTTGATGGTCAATCATTATTTCTTGAACTAGGTGAAGAAGCACGTCATGTTATTTATAGATTCTCGAATATCTTATCGCCTTCATCGACTCCTATTCGTCTGATTAACAGAGGTTCATCACATGATGTTAATATTCATCCAACAAATAATGAAATGTTTTTATTTACTCATGATAGTATTACAAAACCAAAGAATATTTATTTATATGAGTCTATCGCATCAATGCGACCTATTACTATTCACAATAATAATCTTTTAGATAAAGTACGAATGAGTACAGTAGTTGAAACATTTAATTTGGCATGGATTTAGATGCTCAGTAAAATAGATGATATGATCAGTAAAAAAAAATATTATAAAATCAGTTGATTGAATGAGTGATCAGTTATATATTGAAGTACCAGTAAACTATTGAAATGATCAATTATTAAATGAAAAGGCTATATAATAAAACTTTAATACAAGTAAATAAAATAGAATAACAGTCAGTTAAATCCCAGGATAAGTAAAGAAGTCAACAATTACAATTTATTGGTGATTCACTAACACTTTGTTATGTTTCTTTTTTCTCTTCTTTGACATATATCTGCCTTGTGTGGTATATGTACACTGTTCTTTTTTCTCCCCTCACGTTTTTCATGGTGTTAACGACTAAAAACGATGCCATCCCATGGCGCACAACCCGATCGAAAACCGGCGGTTAACCGACGGTTTTCGATCGGTTTGTGCGACATGGGATATTGGTTCAAGTTGCTGAATATGTGAGTGATTTATCAGATGAAGAAATCCATGAAGAAAGTGCAAAACACAAAAAGAAAAAAAGAACAACAAAATATTGGGTTAAATTATCTGTGTTTGATAATAAATGGATCAAATCAAATGGTGGTTAGTATGAGGGCGTTCAGCTTTATACACCGTCTACCAACAATGCCCTAGAGGCAACCAATAAAGTAGTAAAAGACGATGGTACATTTAGAGAACGTCATGTCCTATCAAGGTTTTTAGTAATAGCTTCAAATATAATTAATAATTGGTCAATTGAACGTGATCCATCTTCAACAAATGCAAAACTTTTTACTGTAAAACCAACAATATGTTTGAATTTATGGACTTCATCCTATCAGTGGGCAAAATCAACAAAAGATGTTATCTGTCGTCAAGATGATGTTTCCAAAAAATATTACATACCAGCTCGTAATTTAGAATCTATTTCACAAGCTGATTTAAATAAATATGTCAACAGAAAATGGACAACCTTCAACCACTTCAAAAACTCTTTTGATATTTGGTGCTTGGAAATTAAAAATGGTTCAGATTGGAAAACATCGAGATGCACCTGTCCAGCTTTTCTTAAAAATTATATATGCAAGCATATCGTTGGGATGGGGATTCGCTTAAAACTTTGTAAACCACCACCGGCAGCAAAGAACGTGCCGATTGGTGAAAAAAGAAAAAGAGGTCGACCAGCAAAAGCAAAATGTGCTTTGCTACTGCAATAATTTATTTCTGATATTTCTCGTTTCAATTTTTTTTCTGTTGTTCTATACTATATTTTATTGATCATTTTCCTCTTTTCTACTGGTAAAATCGATCTTATTTACTTATCAAATTTTCTTTTTTTACTTATCAAATTTAATGCTTTTACTGGTACTAATGATATTTTTTTACTGCTATTGTATATAATAAACTGATCACTTTCTGATTATTTACTGGTAATCTAAATACTGATCATTCAATCTTTTAACTGATCATTCAATCTTTAAACTGATCATTTATATAATATTTTACTGGTAATTTCATCTATTTTATACATCAAATATTTTGTTGCCATTTAATTTTACAGGCGCAAAAAATGAAATAGTATGGGGATGGCATATACAACCAGTAAATGGTACAACTAAAAAAGCTCCACTTGCTTTTCTTATTCATGGTGGTCCGCAAGCTAGTTGGTATGATGCATGGACTTACGTTCATAATTTTCAAGTATTTGCATCACAAGGTTACGCTGTTATTGCTATTAATTTTCATGGATCTGATTCATATGGACAAAACTTTACTGATAGTATTAAGGGTCAATATGGTACATTCCCGTATGAAGACTTACAAATAGGACTTCAAGAAGTTTTACAACGCTATAGTTATATTGATGAAAATCGAGTTATAGCATTGGGTGGTAGTTACGGTGGTTATATGGTCAATTGGATTGCTGGCCATCCAGAAATGAGTCAACGTTTTAAAACACTTATTTCTGCTGCTGGTTTATTTGATCTAAGAGCAATGGCTTATTCAATGGATACACTGGTGCTTATTGAACATGAAGTCGGTGGTTTTACTCCCTATGGAAATCCGGATGCATTTGAAAAATATAATCCGATCAATCACGTTGCAAATTGGAGTCAACCAATGTTAATTATTCATTGTGGTCATGATTATCGTGTGCCTGATACACAAGGAATTAGTGCATTTACAGCCTTACAACGACGTGGTATTCCAAGTCGAATGCTTTATTTTCCTACAGAAAGCCACGCGATATCGAATCCACACAATTCACTTATTTGGCATCAAGAAGTATTTGATTGGATGAACAAATGGATCGCATAGAAAACTCTGTATTGTTCTTTTGCTCATGAATAAACTTTTATCTTACATGGGGAATATTATAATAAAGGAATATCAATGCAATTTTATAGCATATAGCCTAGGATGCATATGTATTCGTACAACAAATGTTGAAGTCTATTGAATATGAACAAAATGTGATAGAAGTCGAACTTTTTCATATAGAGACGTCTTTTCTCAGCCAAGGAAATGATATATGTTTGTAGTTCATGGTGGAAAATGGTGTCACACTGAAAGTTCCCTTTCCTGATTGAACATGTAATATCCGGCAGATCTTCAGACAACGCTTCAAGACTCATTTGCAAGAGATAGACGTGTATGCAATTTTTTACTGATATGCTGACCTTCTCAGAAAAAAATAGGTAGATATTTGTTATCAATGTCAAAAAAGTGAATCTAAAGATGTAAGTTTAAAGAAAACAAGAGAGAGGGTGTAATTTTGCATTACAGGCAGCTTATATTGCTAGCACTGATTCGATAAATATAGGGAAACAATCATAACATACCAGCCCAAAATATTCCATCTAATTTACTAATGCCACGAGAGAAATCACTTCAATTTTAAACAATCTGACAAACTTCTTGAACTGTAGAGTGCTGATACCGAAATTGAATTTCAAAAAACGAATCAGGAGGAAGGAAAAACTTATAATTATCAGATCGATATCACATGTACATATCATCATAAGTTACAACAATCAAACAATTTCGTATACTGCTTTCAATCTTCAAAAACAAATTCATCATTTCAAACATGAACGTATAGGTTAATAATCCATTACACTAATTATAGTATTCGTTTCTAAACACACTAGATGGTGAAAGAACATAAAACCCCGTTCTACAATTCATCGTACGATGCCTTCGTTGCTCCTAATGTATCATGCACACGGTCTGGTCGATTGATGCTTCATTTTGATTGATCTTTCGACTTTTATCAAAGCAACTTTGAATCTCTCGGTATATTTTATTTTATTGATTAGATTATATTCATGTAGTATTTTGATTCCGAGCTTACCTGGTAAGTCTCTTAAACAAGGACAAGTGTCGTATGGAGCTTGGAATCAGAAAAATTAACCCACACGCTCAAATTTTTAAGCAGAGATATGGTTCTCGGAGTTATATAACCGAGTAGGGTGTGAGTGTGTTCAACGACACACCCCACCGATACATGCATTCGCACTTTTACATTTACTTATATCCAATATCACATGCACCTGTATGATATATCTATCAATCAAATTTCATTTTATTTTATCTGAACAGAAAAAAGAAATCAATAATCAAAATTAAAACGAGGTTCCTGCTGTTTCAAAAGGTTTTTCGTATTGGTGGAGATGGTCTTCGGCAAGTATAATGTCTGTAGTGTCTATAGAAGAAAATAAAAATAAAATTGAGAAAAACTGATGTGAAAAATAAACAAAGTTCACTTGGTTGTTTTTAAGTGCTTCCGCAAAATAATGTGCGCCACTATCTCCGATTTTGTTGTTGTAAATGCTTAGTATAGTGAGCGTCTGAGTGAAAAAATGCCGATGAATATGAGTTTCAATTGATTAAAAACCACTTCATCATTCCCCTTATCTCATTTTGGTCTATCGTCTGATGCAAGAGAGCATATAGTTTTCCAGTTGTGCGGAACTAATAATGATTGGATTAACATTTCGTAAAAGATCAATCTGATTTTTCTAACTTGGAAATTTTTTGTACCTTGTTCATCTACAATAGTGTTCTCAATATATTTATTCAAATTTGTTATATTCGACAGTGTCAGTCTTGCAAATATCATAAGAACTCTGCTTTATCCAAATACGATTAAACCATTTTTAAAGTTAGAAAAATCACATTGATTTTCTGTGAAATGCTTATCCACTCATTTTGAGTATGAAGAAACTCGAAACTTGCAGGTCCCGCTCCATCAAAGGATAGATGAATTGGTCATAAACCTGAATAGTTGATCAATAGATAAACAGAGAGATATATATGACAACAACAAAAACAGAAGTAGCAACATCTAAGTAAAACTTTTGCCGCTTATATCTTCGACTTGAATTACCCTAATAGCATGTCTTTGATTATATAGTTATCAGAATTGTTTCACTTTAATGAACGAAACGAATTCAATAAATGAAGTTTGAAATGCGCTTTATCTTTTGCAGATGTCTCGTTAATCATCAACATTAAAGCAGAAGTACTCTTATACGTACTATATGAGATAAGGCTGGCAAAATCTGTATTGTCGATATCTTCATGGCTGCCATGAAGTGACAATTCTTACGCGGTTTTTCCCGATACGTGACGTAAGAAACCCGTTTTCGTGAAAAATGACCGAATGTCAAGTCTTCATAGATAACATCGAATATTGTTCAATAAAATGAAATAAAAAACAATCAACTCAGAAATAGATAAGCCAGTTTGAGAGGTTTATAAGCGCTTTATTTTATTTTAGAATCAAAGCAATGTTGAATTAAATCCTGTTCACATTTCAAATTAGATGAACTTTGTAAATCCATCAATGATTCATTGTCGATGAGATATTTTCAACAATGAAAAAACTCTTTCAGAAGACGTTTTTGTCGCACAGAATTCTGTTTCAATTTCAGATCATATAGCTTGATTGTTGACAACGATGTTATTGGATACAGTATAAAAGAGTTCGTAGAATATGCATTGGTAATGTAGCAAGATACACAGTAAAAAAACAACGTATTTGATCATCAAATCAAATAAGCGTGTTTTCGAAACAGAAATCTTTGCAATGGACATCTTTTACAAGAATGAACCAGAGTTTTTGAAATGGAAAAACATCGCTGAAAGTCTGTAACTACTATTTTTGTTCATAACGTGAATTGTTTTCGTACCTTTCACAGTTTCTTAAAATAGTATCAATATTCACAATCGTATTCTCATATCCACATGATTATTTTCTTTCCAATAACTTTATCTTTTTCTTATTCTTTCCTTTCATACACAGTTGATGACCTTGGTCTATCAAGACATAAGTCATTGTCACTGCAGGTAACTTTCAGCGAATTTTACGACACGCAAAATTTCCAACAAGTTTGTTATTGATGTTCGATACGTGCTCTCAAAAAAAAACATTCAAAGCTATGTTTGAATCGAAATACATATTTTGTCATGTCAGGGCATACTTGTACTTTTGAGCTGTCACCTATCGAACTAGTTCAAGCTATATGGTCAACTATGTTTGGGCTCATGAAATTCTTCGTTCATTTACAAACATCAGTCGCTACAGCGACACTGCCTTACACTCTTATTCAACTTATCACCATTAGTTGAGACTCTCAATTTCCGTTCGGGTACATATATGAGTCTATTTTATATGAGCCACATACTCACACCTCTGGAGGTTTCCAGAACCTAGGCATTATGAATAAATATATTAGGTACAGTTTTTGTTAAAGAACGAAAAACAGTCAATTTTCTAATATAAATCGATGGATAGTAGCCAGTAAAATTTGTGTAACTTACAATTAACTAAATAGTACAAGATCAAACTTGCATAAGTAATAGATCTTCCGTTAATGATTCTAGTGCACTCATGGAAACTGAAATCGTGATACTTTTACATTCAACAATGTTTTACATTTAACAAAGTTTATGTAGAGTCTGAGAAAACTTAGAAAAATCCAATATATATGATTTAATACAGTTTCCTGTCTTCTTTTAAAACGGTAAAAGCAGAACCTCTCTCAATATTTTCTATCAAAAACTTTAAAAAAGACTCAGTTTTTCTTTTGTGAAATGGGTAATAGTTTTCGACACCTATCTACATAGAGCTACCCACATCCAAAGTTGTATACACCTACACACTGTATGAGTCAATCAAATCTCATTTTATTTCATTAAAAACAAAAAATCTAACAATCAATTAATTAAAATTGCAACCGATTGTCTTGTTGCTTTAAAATAGTTTTTACATTAGCAGAGATGTTGTTTGTCCCCGAGAGATATAAAAGCTGTAGTGTCTATAAATGCAAAGAAAATTAGTATGAGAAAAAAGGTGTAAAAGTGTAGTAAATGTCACTTTGTTGCTTTTCAGCGCTTCTGCTAGTTGCTGTGCACCAGTGTCTCTTATCTGATTGTTTTGAAGGTATAGATGGGTAAGCGTCTATGTGAAAGATATAAATTTACTATTAATCACAGGCATCTCATTCACTGAACATGAATTAATTTCATCACTTTCGAGTTGTTTTAATTTAGCTTCATGTAGAATATCATTATTAACGGTTACTGTAAATGGACACGACGGTCCAATATTTATAATTGTCGGAGATATAACATTCGGTAGAGTATCAACAGTTGAATTTTTAATTGATTCAGTATTGACCGATTGATGAGATGATGATTGTTCGTGTTCGGATAAAGTAACCATATCCGATTGTTGATCAGTATTTGTTACCGCCCATGTAATCGAAAAACGCAGTTTTCACGCATCTAGATGCGTTAATGATGCAACATTTACATTTTGACGCGTTTCCACGCGGTATCGATTGACACTGCATCAAGACGTACTGACACGAATCCATTCTAGCGCGTCTGAACGCGTTACGAATCACTTTTGACGTTCAACCGCGTCTTTTAATTGACACGCATTCAAACGCGGTTGGGTCTTAGTCATGAAACGCGTTTCAACGTGAATAGTTTTGTCTTTGAGCCAGAATGCGTCCATTACTAGGAATAATATTCAGCTGAATGCGTTTCAACGCGACTAGTTTCGTTTTTTCTTTCGAACGTGTTTATATATATGTATATTTACTCTTTAAGCTTTAGTAACGCGTCTAGATGCATTTAGATCCGTCTTTTGTAGAGACAAAATACATTTAAAGTTTAATGTTTTTGTGTATTTGTTAAAATCAAAAGATGATCTACTTTTTTCTATACGTTCGATATAAAAGTGCCCAGGCCGAACGATGCGGCCCATATACGGTCGTTAGCTATTACAATGCGGTACAAAAACGGACTTTATACGATTAGCATAGTTGACGCAGGTTTACGAGCCTATCATAGTTAGGTTACGATGCATATGCATCCAAATACGCCTAAAATCTAGGGTCGTATACGGTATAGTATTACTGCATCATGTGTTACGAAAGAATACGAAACACAATGTGTCGTACAGTAATTGTTTTTCACCGTTTTCTGACAAAAAACGGCCCGTAATGGCATCAAGTTTCGATCAAGCTGGGTAGTTAAATTAACAAGAGTTATGTTCAAGAGGCGAAATAAAATTATGAACATCTGGAAAAAAAATTCGAATTTATTTTCTTTAGCTCGCATTAATTTTTATATAAAAATAATTAAAACTTTCAGTCGAAGTAAAACAGAAAAATAAACAATTAACTTAGTTTTGAATATTTTAATGTGAATTTAAAATATTTTTAATATATTGAATAAAAAAACACTAAAAGATGCGACATTCTGTATAAATTTTTTTAAATGATTTATTATCGAAATAACTGTTTTTTTTAAATTTATTCATTCGAAAACTGAAATTAATATTTCTTTTATATTTAATTATATCTAGTCAATATTATATATGCAACGTGAGTTGTTATTAAAACATAAAAACGGTGAAAAACTTTTCTAAGTCATTTGACTTTGTTAAATAATCGCGCGATGTAATGTTTTTTTCGTTCTATAAAGTCACATAACAGTGTAAGATATATATGAACAAGTATGTATAGCCTCGTGGTAAGTTCAATGTCTTCTATTCTATAGGTATCGTGGTCGAATCTCGTCTGCTGCACTTTCTTTAATTAACTTAAACTCGTGTTAGGTTGAACAGAAAATGTTATGTGACGATAGAAATGGATAGATATCGATACTGTGGTACAGCGAATTTTTTTAATTGAAAAAAATTATGAATATCTTCAAACGCATCTAGAAGCGTTTAATAATAAGTAGCGTTAGACTGCGTTTCTATGTTGAAACGCGTTTAAACCCCCGAAAATGTTGCATTTTAGACGCATCCAAACGCGACACAAAGTTAAACGCGTCCGTACAGGTTTATTCTTAAAAACGCGTCTAACTGCGTTTCAAAACCTGCTAACGCGTTTAAACCCCCGAAAATGTTGCATTTTGGACGCATCCTGACGCGTGACATTACATTTGTGATAAACGCTTGGGACGCGTCGAAAATCGAAAAACGGATACATGGGCGGTGTAGACAACGGTAATGTTCGAATTTGAGGGGACGACGACGACTGTGTATCTGACTTTGATGCACTTAGATCAATAACTGATGCTTGCTCGGGTAAAACAACGATATCTGGTTGTTGATAAACATTTGCATTCGATATAGGTAATGGTAATGGTATAATTTCAGAAGATAGACTTCGATCAATAACTGATGATAATTTAAGATCAGTTGATAACGACGAATAATTACGACGATGCACAACTGGTTGTTGTTCAACTGTAAACGACGTTCGATTAAATGATGCTTTAAATACTTCGAGAATTTCTTTTTTAAACGTGAACCAATCAAGTTTATTTGATTTATGTAAACGAAACCATGTGTCAGCTGTACCTTTTAAATACGATTGTACGGCTAAATATTTATTCGATGGTTTTAATTGTACTCGATCAAAGATTTCTTCCGTATCTTGTAACCATTGACTAAAATCTTCATAACGAGAACCAAAAAACATAGTAAGTGCTCTAACTTGTTCTTGAACGAACATCTCCATATATTGTTCAGTCATACTTTCTTAATAACCAAAATTTAAAATCAATATTCAATAATCGTTGAGCTTCTTTTGTCGAACAGAAGATGATAATGTGTACGAGTTATCACCATCAACAAGACAAAAAATTTTAAATATAATATTTCAAATCACGATCTGACCACAAATATAAACAATAAGTTGATTATAATGAAGAAACGGAGAATCAGTATTGAATGTTGATTAATATGTGTAACGGGAATACAACGAGGACTAAGCAGAAAATTTTACGGGAAGACAAACATAATATCTTATCGTGCTCGACGAATTGTGGTCGAAATTGTATCACGATACGGGTCACGGCACCAATTGTTTGTCTGTGGACTACCTACACTGGAAAAAAAAGGTACCATACGAAACCCTAAAGGTATCCGATTTTTGCAACGAAATCGAAATCCTTTGAGGTTTCGTAGAAAATGGGTTTCGTATAATACACCACGTAGCAGTCAGAGAAGGTTTCCCCGCGTGCCCTCTGTTAGGTAGTGGCGCTATCTAAGTCCACTACCTCCTTTCTCTTCTCTCTTCTTCGTCATCTATCTCTTCATTGGTCGATTGACCAAGAGTGATGTTGTTTCACGTTCGAGAGTAGTGTTAGTGTTGTTCGTTCGAAGAACGTATTCCAATAAAGGTAGTTAGTCCACAGACTAACAATTGGTGCCGCGACCCGTATCGTGATACAATTTCGACCACAATTCGTCGAACACGATAAGATTTTTTTTTCTCTCTCCATAAAAAAAAATTTTTCTGCTTAGTCCTCGTTGTATTCCCGTCATATATATATTTATCAAGATCAAGATTGAATATTGATTGTCCATTTCATTATTATTATCAAATGATTAATTATAATTGTGGTTATCTTGTGATAGAAATATTATGAACAAATTGTCTTGTTGATGGTGATAACTCGTACACATTATCATCACCTGTTCCACAAAGAAGCTCAACGATTATTGAATATCGATTTTAATTTTGGTTATTAAGAAAGTATGACCGAACAGTATATGCAGATGTTCGTTCAAGAACAAGTTAGAGCACTTACTATGTTTTTTGGGTTCTCGTTATGAAGATGTTAGTCAATGGTTACAAGATACGGAAGAAATCTTTGATCGAGTACAATTAAAACCATCGAATAAATATTTAGCTGTGCAATCGTATTTAAAAGGTACAGCTGACACATGGTTTCGTTTACATAAATCAAATATTCCTGATTGGTTTACGTTTAAAAAAGAAATTCTCGAAGTATTTAAAGCATCATTTAATCGAACGTCGTTTACAGTTGAACAACAACCAGTTGTGCATCGTCGTAATTACTCGTCGTTATCACCTGATCTTAAATTATCATCAGTTATTGATCGAAGTTCATCAGATTCAAATACACGTTCTCTATCTTCGGAAATTATACCATTACCATTACCTATATCGAATGCAAATGTTTATCAACAACCAGATATTGTTGTTTTACCCGAGCAATCATCAGTTAGTGATCGAAGTGCATCAAAGTCAGATACACAGTCTTCGTCGTCCCCTCAAATTCGAACATTACCGTTATCTACACCGGTACTAAATACTGATCAGCAATCGGATATGGTTACTTTATCCGAACAATCATCATCTCATCAATCGGTCAATACTGAATCAATTACAAAGTCAACTGTTGATACTATATCACACATGATATCCTCGACAATTACAAATATTCTACCGTCGTGTTCCTCGACAGTCACAGTCAATAGTAATACTCCACATGAAGCTGAATTAAAACAACTCGAAAGTGATGAAATTAATTCATGTTCAATGAATGAGATGCCGGTGATTAATAGTGAATTTATATCTCGTATTGTATCAATGAAACGTAATGTACAAGTTAATTATCGTGATAAAAGTCTTGCTGCATATGATACTCGTGATTTTATTTATCGAATGATAACTACACAAGATTTTCTTCCGGCGTATCGTGCTAATATTAGTTTGTTTATTAGTCGTATTTACATTTATAGTTGCCATGTGCCCTTACTCGAAGTCTTTATGTCCTCATTAATACATTACAAACTTATTATTCTCCTGATTCGTGATATATATGTCTACATAAAGAAGAGAAGAAAAAACATCTACACTAATTCTATTACAGTACATTCTAGACATCGTTTCATATTTTTTTTCTCTTTTTATGTTCATTTCTTAAGCTGTCACAGTTTATGTTCGTTTGTTTTCTTGGTTACTCGTTTGTTTTCTTTGTTTGCTCATTTGTTTTCTTGGTTTCTCGTTTGTATTTGTTGGTTCTACTCGTTTTTTTTTCGCATGGCGTGTCTCTTAGTGAACAGATGTTGCCGTTCACTTGTAAAGGGGGGAGGTGTTAGGTAGTGGCGCTATCTAAGTCCACTACCTCCTTTCTCTTCTCTCTTCTTCGTCATCTATCTCTTCATTGGTCGATTGACCAAGAGTGATGTTGTTTCACGTTCGAGAGTAGTGTTAGTGTTGTTCGTTCGAAGAACGTATTCCAATAAAGGTAGTTAGTCCACAGACTAACACCCTCCTTCATTGTGGATGCAGTTTTCCGCCACTCTCCAATGTAANTGTTAGGTAGTGGCGCTATCTAAGTCCACTACCTCCTTTCTCTTCTCTCTTCTTCGTCATCTATCTCTTCATTGGTCGATTGACCAAGAGTGATGTTGTTTCACGTTCGAGAGTAGTGTTAGTGTTGTTCGTTCGAAGAACGTATTCCAATAAAGGTAGTTAGTCCACAGACTAACACCCTCCTTCATTGTGGATGCAGTTTTCCGCCACTCTCCAATGTAAAACACATCCACACTAAAAAAATTAACCGGGTCCTGCAGGAACTTGCTGACAAGATGCCTGAAAAGCGTCGTATCGTGCAGGGAAACAAACCACATAGCTGGAACATGGAAACACTATTCCGACCGCAAACGTCCCGAGATTTTCTGGATGATTTCCGGCGCATTTTGCCTCAAGACTGAGCAAATTGGTCAGAACTCATCAAGAAAGTCACGAACGTTTATCACCAGGAACCTGCTTCCATGTCCAGCAATAAGATATGATTTCCTACAGAGTATGGTGATTATCAGGCATCTTCTCTGCCAGTTCAGTACGGTTTCGGCGCGCACAAGGATCTGTATGCGATGATGGACCTAAATAGAAATAAAATATTTCATCAGTTTTTAACTTATAAATCGAACTCACCATTAATATTTGCTCAGGTGATAATTGATCTAAACACAAATAAAATAATTCATCTGCTTTTAATTTATAAGTCGAACTCACCCTTATTATTTGTTCATCTAAGCATCGATCTAAATAGAAATAAAATATTTCATCAGTTTTTAACTTATGAATCGAACTCACCATTAATATTTGCTCATGTCATAATTGATCTAAACACAAATAAAATAATTCATCTGCTTTTAATTTATAAGTCGAACTCACTCTTATTATTTGTTCAGCCGAGCATTAAACCAAATAGAAACAAAATAATTCATCAGGTTGTAACCGTTAAAATTGAAATCACCATTGATATTGGTTCAGTTGCTAAGGTCGATCAACCCCATCCTACGATCCGATGAGAAATCGATGAGATCGCATCCTCTCCCATCGAATTTTATAAGGATCTCATAGGAATATTGTTGCAGCGGCGTTAAGGAATTATAGTAGGATCTCCGGGATCGGAACCTCATACAATCTTACAGCGCAAAACACATCGAAAACAACCACAATTCCACTATCGGATCATGGACCCGAATCGTCAATGCCGGATTCGGATTTCTTAACCTCGATAACCTATTACAAACTTACATCAGAATTTATCTCCGAGTTGAAATAAAAAATCTACCTTGACAGTTTTTGACTTAGAAAGGGACCAATTTTCTGACCAATCGGAGCTCGACGCGAAAAACTCATGACATATTCGGAATCCTGGACATCGATAACCTATTGCAAAGTTACCTCAGAATTTAGAACGGAGGTGAAATGGAAAGTCTGACTTTGGAGGAGTGGAATTTTTGTTTGGTCGAAGTTGCTGTTCCAAACGTTTGCCTGAAATATTTTGAATGGAGGGCATGGTCTCTCGTGGGAAGCGTTCAAGATTTTTTAAACTGAGGAGCTTGTACGAATTGAAAAAAAAACCCAGTAATCGATTTTCTGCATGCGTGTGAATATGGTACTTCGAAACTTCTGATCGGTAGAAAAAAGAAATCATTATTTTGAATGGGAATTGACCGATGGACAAATTTATGCGAGGCGTATATTACGAAACCCTTTTGAATGCGAAACTCGAAAGGGGTTTTGACGAAACCCTTGGCGTAACATAAAATTCCAAGGGTTCAGTACGAAACCTTTTTATACTTCAAAACTCTTTGAAGTCTTTTACGAAACCTTGGATGTCGCTAAACCCTATGCAGATTTCGTATTGTTCTACGGATACTTCTTTGGTATAGTAAAAATCTGCGAAACCTCAAAGGTTTCGTGTGGCACCTTTTTTTTTTCAGTGTACCTTTATTGGAATACGTTCCTCGAACAACTACCTTCTCTCTCGAACGCGAAACAACACCACTCTTGGTCAATCGACCAATCAAGAGATAGATGACGAAGAAGAGAGAAGAGAAGGAGGTAGTGAACTTAGATAGCGCCACTACCTAACATAATTGATTTTAATTTTAAAAATTGATTAAAAAGGATTATTTTCTTTGAATTTATTTGAGAAACACTCAATTTAATCGATTTTTCCTGATTACTTGTCGAAAAATCTTTTTTAATCAGATTTTTTGCTGTTTTTTTACATGGGTGATCAACTGTTTGTGCTACAGTTTTGAGACAACTTAATCTCAGAAGCTCATATTTTCAGCCCTATTGCTAGTTGAAAGGATACAGCTTTCAACGAAAGAATGAGCTTTTTAAATTATGTAATTGCTGAGAAACGTTGAAAACACTGCAAAAAACGTCATCGCGTTAGGCTTGTGAAAGCCGATACAGTATAACTTCTATATGTGAGCACCTCCCAATAATGAGCACCACCCTATACTGAGCGGTCTGTGGACCGCCCGAGCGAGTTTTGCTGAAAATGTGCCTCTGGAATACGAGCACCTTCTCATTCTGTTAGTGAACGCTGTTTTATTGGCCCCCATCAGCCATAAACACCTCTGTAATGTAATGTGAGCAATATGTTTTCTATAACTCATACAGAACGAGAAAAATAAAGATGTTATGTCGTCTTCATTATTGAAAACAATTAAAGTGCACATACAAGAACGAAAAAGCTGTTAGCGCAATCCCTTCGGGATTAAAATGTGAAACACGACACAACTGTTAGTTCTTATCAGATAAACTATTGTTCTATGGATTTCTGGATTCTTTCTTTGATTCTACTTCAATGCATCAGCTATAAATGCAGAACCACAACAGGTTAAAGGCTTTATCAAGATTGTAACCCTATCCGCTCCTTGCTTGTACGCCGATACGATTCATGACACTCTACAACGACGTTCAGAAGTGTCTACAGAGCTGTATCATTGTCATAGCTTCACTTTTATATCTTCCTCGCATTTCTAATACCGTTTGTGATGGATCCAAAACTTGTCTCTCAGGGCCAGGAATGGGCAATTAATTAATTAACAAGTAACGTTCATCGACATCGAAAGTCGATTCACCGGGCCCTAGACTGATACGGATTACGACTTGAAATTCATCCACTGCCTAGAAAATTAGTTGTTTGTCTCAGAAGCAGATCCTGAAATTTCGAAGAGACGAGCGGATAAGTTGATTGGAGCCGCTGAGAGTCGAATAAATGAAAACGGGGCAAGAATCAGGCGAAAATGAAAACTTAACAACGAAAATCAATGATAAAAAGCACACAAAGACAAACAGAAACACGAAAGAGGGGGCAACAGCCAAACTACGGTTTGAGGATGGGGGACAGAATCTCAGGTCCTCTTATCCATAAGAAACGTGTTTGAAGAATCATATCAGCGGACTTGAAGGCTTTCAGAGATTAGGGCTATCTCTCACCTAGCTACTAACTTGCGTGACTCAGAGATTTTGAGATGGGAGCTTCAAAATTCCGTAGGGGGGAGCAGCTGCCTGGCTCCAATGCCTCCGTCACTGGGGGGAAGTATTCCGCGTTTCTCACCCACGAATCCACACATGACAGGCACCATAAAAGTGGTCATTTGTACCAAAGAAATGCTCATTTGCGTCATGGAAATGGTCGTTTGTGCCACAGAAATGGTTATTTGTGGCATAGAAATGACTATTTGTGCCACGGGAATGGTCATTTGTGCCGTGGAAATGGCCATTTGTGCCATGGAAATGGTAGTTTTTGCCACAAAAATGGTTACTTGTGCCACAGAGATAGTCGTTTGTGCGATGGAAATGGTAGTTTGTGCCATGGAAACGGTCATTTGTGCCACAAAAATGGTCAATTGTGCCACAGAGATGGTCCTCTGTACCATAGAAATGGTCATTCGTGCCATAGAAATGGCCATTTGTGCCAAGAAAACTGTCATTCGTGCCACAAAAAACGGTCATTCGTGCCACAAAAATGGTCATTTGTGCCACAAAAATAGTCACTTATGCCACAGAGATGGTCGTTTGTGCCATGGAAATGATCAATTGTGCCATGGAAGCGGTCATTTGTGCCATAGAAATGGCCATTTGTGCCACAGAGATGGGCATTTGTGCCATAGAAATGGTCGATTCCGTCATTGTTACAGACAGACGGACAGACAGACGGACAGACAGACAGACAGACAGACAGACACAGGTGAATTACGGTTTCCAGACCCTATCCTTTCAGTCTAGGGAAAATGTCTTCCGAAGCAATTGAAATCACTATTCTTAACACTTTAACTCGTCTTCATCTGTCTGCAATGGTGGATGAAGCTGGAACTACCTGTCGGTAACGGTCTGCGATGGGGAATCACGTGTCTGTAACGATCTGTGACACAGGTATCACCTGTCTGTAACGGTCCGTGATGGTGGAATCACCTGTCTGTAACGGTCTGCGATGCAGGTATCAGCTGTCGGTAACGGTCTGTGATGG